CCCTCCCTGGGTGACTGGAGAGTGGGCACCAGTTATAAAGCAGGAGCAGGTGGAATGCTTGTGTCCCTGCAAACCCAGAGGCTGAATGATGCTCTCACCCCAATAGTACCGGGAGGTGGGGCTTTTGGGAGGTGACTGTGTGCAGATGAGGTCATGAGGGTGAGCCCCCATGACGGGATTAGTGCCCTGTTAAGAAGAGATCACATGAACACATCAAGAAAGTGGCCATCTGCATGCTGGGAAGCGAGCTCTCACGAGGAACTGCATCAGCCGGCACCTTGACCTTGGACGTCTATCCTCCGGAACTGAGAGAAACAAATGTCTGTTGTTTCAGCCACCGGTTCTGGTGTCATTTGTTATGGCAGCCCAAGCTGACTGACTAAGACAACACCCTTCCCAAATCTGGGTGGATTTAAAAAAAAAAAAAAAGAGGACACCCCCTGGCGGGTGGAAGCCAGGCTGGTCTGTCCACACTCAGCCGAGGTCCGGACAGCGAGAGGCATCCTGGTCCTCAGTAGCGGCGGCCACCCCAAGCCTCATTTTCTACACCTATAAAAGGCAGCTAATTAATATCTATCTTGAAGCGTTGCTGACAATTACATGAACTAATGTGAGTCCTGCATGAAGGTCTTCAATGCTGTTATCATTAACACTAGAGGGCAAAGGAGGGCGGGGGGTTGGGGCACACGCCGGGCTTGGCTGCTGTCACCCCTCAGGCCTGACTGGACAGGCTGTCCCTGGGTTACTGCGAGAGAAAATGAAAGCAAACACAGACAGGAAACGTTCCCGGCCCAGGGGCCGTCATGGAGTAGGTGGAGCAAGTGGAGAAGGGAAGGTGTTTGGCTCATACCCTCTCTGAATGGGCCAGTGTCAGAGCTGCCTGGCTGACCTGCTGCAAAAGGCTCCCAGGTGCTGGACAAGCGAGCTTGTGGACGAGGGGTGGGAGCCCTGAGCAGTCACTGATGACTGGCCTCTCCCTCGCAGCCCCTTTTCCTCTGTGTGCCATGGTGTGAATAAAGTCTGGGGACACTGGTGTGAGAGAGAGGTGCTGCCCAGTTGAGGCAGGCCAGTGAGACTGGGACCAGGGATCCTTGGACTCTCAGGGTCCAGAATCTTCCCACACCTTCTCTGGCCAGTACACAGATCAGAGCTGGCAGAGAGCAGGCACAGGGGCCACCCCTGGCATCGGGGCTGCCACGTGAAGGCTCTGACAGAGCTGTGGGTGTGCTGGGGACAGCAACATCTATGGAGGACTGGGGGGATGGGAGGGGCAGGGCGCTGCTGAGGCTGAACTTTGCCAGAGTGTTCATTCTGCAGCCAGAGCTCTCCTGATGGCAGCACAGTGACTGGGTGCCTCTTGCAGCCTGGCCACCTGCAGCCCCAGCGAATGCTCTGCAGCTGACTGTGGGCATGGGGGCTCTGACACGCTGACAGGAGCTGCTGTCACCTGGGCCCCGAGTCTCCTCTTCCCCTCCTCGTTTTCACAAGTCTTCTGTCCCTAGCAGACAGCTCTTGCTCTGGAATGCTAGTTTACATTCTGTAGCTTGTCTGCTTCCAACATGCCTACGAGCCTGCACAAATGTTGGTTGGCGATTCCTTTGGTTGAAAAGTCTGCAAAGATGTATTACTCCTTTCCTAGGTCCACGGCCTTGGGTTGAGTGTCACCAAAGATACGAAAAAGAATAAGTGGGGGTCTTGGGGAGGGGTGAGCAGCTGGTTGAGCGAGATTGGGACAGACTGGTCCAGAACACAGTGGAAGAAGAGAGATGGGGAGAGAGAGAGAGAGAGAAGGAGAAACATAAACAGAGACAAAGACAGAAGGGGACAGAAAGAGGAGAGGAATGGAGAGGAAAGGAAGAGGAGACAAGAGGAGAGAGAGAGCACACACTGCACAGTTATTTGCGTATCACTTGTATCTTCTTGCTTCTAAATGCCTTCACGCCTGGGTGGTCAAGGACTTGGTTCTGTTTTTAATGGCAACCCAGAAGCTGTCTGGGAAAGGGCAGGACGATGCGATGGCAAGATCTCTCTAGCCAGACAAAGGCTCAGGTCTGGCCCTACAGCCTCCTACCTGGGGGCCTCTGGGCAAGCGCCTTACCCTGTTGGAGCCTGTCTCCCGTGTGTGGCCGGGTGAAGACAGTGCCCTCTCAGGGCCATTGCCATCATGCTACATGGCAACATGCACAAGGCTCTGTCTGGGCACTTGTCCAATGGAAGGGCAGCAGGGAAGACTGGGCTTTGGGTGAGGGGAGGTGGCAGAAAGGAGACTGGGGTGATGTCAGACCTGGTGGGGCTCGGGGCAGCACTCAGCTGCCCTTCTGCATGTGGCCCCAGCAAAATCTGTGGCCACTCTGCATACGTGGGTTGCTGGGCTCTCCTGGCCAGGCAACATCATCTAGAGGAAACAGCCAGGAAACTGAACCTTCGGCGTGTGAGTGGCCAGCGAACCCATCAGAATTCTGCCATCACAGCCGGCGCTTTGTTAGCTGCCTGCTGCAGTATTTCTTCAGTTCCTGCCCGGAGGTTTGATCTTCTCTCTTTTTTCCCATGCAATGCTTTGGGGCACTTTGTTAGAGAACAGGCAGAAATAATGCATTTTACACACAGAGCCAACATCGAGGTGACTGGGCCTCTCCATGATCCCAGGGAGTGGCCTGGGGTTAACGTGTGGTCTGCGTCTCAGCCCCAGACACTTGCTGGCAGCTGGTGGCATCATAGATGTCAGGTGGCTGTCAGACTCCGAGATGTCCTTTTATGAGACGGGCTGGCGGTTTCCACACAGGTTGAAGGGCCGTCATAATGACTCTGGCCACAAGGAATCCTGACCCAGCCTCCCCAGACCTGGGTCGGTCCAAGGATGTTCTAGCCCTGGGAGGTGGCCCTCAAACCCCTGGCGTCTGGGGGACGGCAGAGGCATGGCCGAAGTCCCCCCAGGTGGCAACTTCCCACCCTCCCCCTGTCAGGGAAGCCAGCTGCCCAGAGCCTGGGGCTTTCTCGATGAACACATCAATCCTCATTGGGATGAGGAGTTAATAAAGGAGGCATTTGAGCCCCTCTGCAGAGGCCGGGCTCGCTGGCGTGGAGGTGTTCCAACTTCCACTGGGAAACTGGAAGGCCAGGGGTCCACGTGTGCGTTTGGGTGGTGACAGTGGCATGACTGACTGTGCCACGTGGACAGCGGCCAGTGGGGCCTGTGAGGCCGGCTCTGCAGCCCCTGCTCTGTGCCCAACTCAGGTGCCATGGCAGGCAGTGACGTGGGTACATTCTCCAAACGCGAGGAGTGGGTGTTTGCCATCTGAGCGACTGCTCACCAAAAATGATGTTTTTCAAAAGAAAAGAGGAGGGTGTGATCGTGGGCCCACCGATTCTTTGTGCGGCTGTGTTTCCCAAACTATGGGCTGCACACTGCTGCTCCCCAATCCCCCCACACCTGGGTGAAGGCTCCACTCACCCCTGGCATTGAACTCCGAACTGCAAAGGGTAAAGCGACCTAGTAGGGGAGGGCATGTGGTGGGCAGAGGTGGGCAGGGTTCCAGGTGAGACCAGGCATGGTCTCGGAGGAGAGAAAGGGGACAAGTCAGACCTCCCCAAGCCTCCCCAGCTTTACAAAGCCCTTTTATAGTGACTCCAAAGGCGGCCAGAAAAGGGCCATGGTTTTGAGAGCTCCCTGCCAACCTCCACCAAGATCCAACCACGCGGAACTGTTTGCAGGGGCTGTAACGGAGGTAAGGGAGGCTAGCTGTGTGGGAGAACTTCCCGAAGAACTGACGGGTGGAGTTAACTCACGGGAAAAGGTTACAGGAAAACAAAGACGAAACTCTATCCAAGGGTTTCTGAAAGGAACGCTCTGACGACTTCCCCCATCTCCATTTTAAAGCCGAGACCAAGCGGCAGACCTGCCCACAACCTGACTGGAGCCAGATGGCCCCTCCGCAGCCACCTGTTACTACGAGTTCCGCAGCTGGGCGGGCAGGCACCCGGAAGGCGCTGGAGTCGGGTGCACTTCGCCACCGGAGTCGTCCGGGCCCCTCCCCCGGAGGAAGCGGTCTCCAGTCCCGGGGCACCCAATTCCGGCCCCTAGAGGCATTCCAACCTCACGACACGTACTACTCAGCCTCTTCGCGCAACCGGGGTCCAGGCGCGCCGCCCCTCCTGCCCCGGCGGGTGGCCACGCCCCTCCCAGGCCTTGCCTGGTCCGCGGGTGGCCCCCGCGCACCCCAGTTCTCTACTGAGCTCTCCCGCGGCCTCCTTGCCCGGGGACCACCACGGAGAGCCCCCTGCCCCAGTCAGGGGACGCTGGGTGTCGCTCCCCTTCCCTCCTCACCGAGCATATACCCCGGGGAACAGTAGGGGATGAAGAAAGGTCTCGGCGGCGTCAGGTTTGGGCGACCCGGCTCCCGCAGACCCACTGGGAGACCGGTCCCCACCCGCACCCCTCGGCCCGGGCCTGGAGCGACTGCGGAGCGGTCCCCACGCTCCCCGCCCCCGGCCGGCCCCGCCCCAGGATGGCCAGTTCCCATAGCAATCGCAGAGACACCGGTTGCCAAGCAACCCCTCCCCCTCCTCCCTCCCCTCCTCTCCGGTCCCCTCCCCCCAACCCTAGCCTCCTCCCGCCCCCTCGCTAGCCTCCACCTCCCCCGGGGGCGCCAGCGCGGTCCCTCGGGATCGCTCATGTGTCCGGCTGCGCGCGCGCGTGAGTTTTAGTGTGTTTCATTGTGTCTGTGGGCAAGGGGGTGTGCGTGTCTAGTGGAGAGTTTGTAGGGTAGGTGTGTCGTGGGATCGGCAGCCGGGAGCGACCCCGACCTGGTACACAGCTGGCCGAGTGGGGACCCGCCCGTTCGCTCCGGCTCCTTTGTGTCTCGCGCGGAGCCAGTGCCGCGCCCACCCTCTTCCCTGCCGGCGGCCCGGACAGGGGGTGGTGTGGTGTGGGGTGTCTGTGTGTGTGTGTGTGTGTGTGTGTGTGTGTGTGTTGGGGATGGGGGTGCCGAGATCGGCCGTACCTTCTATGCAGCACACCCGCCACAGCCCCGAGTGGGTGAGGTCGCCGCGGGAGCGGCGGGGTGGGGGCCCGTCGTCCATGGTCAGGTTGCTGCTGTTGCAGATGTGCGCGCTGGAGTAGAGCCAGTAGTCGGTGCCGATGGCGATGGCCATGAGCGAGAAGGCGGCGAAGGCTCCGGCCGTGGTCAGCAGCAACTGCAGCCCGCGGTCGCATCGCACCATGGTGGGCGCCTCATAGTCCGCCGCCCGCCGGCCCGGCCCGCCGCGCCCGCCCGCCCTCCTTCCTCTGCGCGCCGCTCCGGGGCGCCCGGGCTAGGGGGCCGAGGGCCGGGGGGCGGCGCCGCGCTGCGCGCTCCGACCCCGCGCCCCGGGCGTGCCTGCGCTCCGGCAGCGCCGGGGCTTAAACTCCGAGGCGCGGCGGCGAGTGAGAGAAGCGCGGGCCGCCGGACCCGCTGGTGGCGGCGGCCGGGGGCTCCTCCCTCTGGGCCCGCCCTCCCCGCTCGGCCCGCACCTCCTCCCCGCGCCCTCCGCGCCTCCGCTCCGCTCGCCGCCCGCCGCCGCGCTCCCGGCCCGCGCCCCGCGCCTCTCGGCGCCGCCCCTCGCGCCTCGGCCCCCACCCGGGTGTGCGCTCCCCTCTCTTCCCCCAACCCCGGCCCGGATTTTCTCTCCCTCCCCACGTCTCCCCTCCCGGCTCTCGCGCGCTCTCTCTGTCTCCCAGGGTTCATTCACATTATTAGAGCGAAAGAAGCCGCGGCACCGGCTCCCTGCGAGCACCGGACGGAAACCGCTACCAGCTACCTCGCTTACCCAACCCAGGACACCTAGCCTCCCCTTAGACGGCCTCGAGGACCCTTTAATTTGTGGTGTGTATGTGCGGTGTCCCTTCTTTCCCCATGTATGAGTGCATGCCTTTACCTGGCGATTAATGTGTAAGAGCGAGTGTGGGAGTGTTCGGGTCAGATTTCTAGAAACCCCAGATGTGAGTCACAGCTGGGAGACTCTGCAGGCCGAGCCAGGCCCCTGCCACGCTCCTCCCGCACCCAGGCGGCTCCTGCCTCCCGCGCTGTCCCGGATTGGCTGTCCCGGGTCCGCTTGCAGGGCCAGCGGGTGGAACAGAAGGGAGGTGTCAGCCAGAGGTCCTCCGGGAAGGATACAGGGTCCCTGTTTAACAGAGGGGTGGTGAGGCTGTGATTGAAGTGGGGGCGCTCCCCCATCACTGCCTTTCTGATGGTATACTACTGCGAAACTGGGAACACCCCGATCGTGCTAGATTGCAACATCCCAGCCCCGAGTTGTTCCCTCTAGTCCCAGCTCGCTCTCCAGCACCTTCCTTTTTGCCTTTTGCTCTGCCCCCTACTCGAGCTTAGCCGGCGTTCCCTCCCCTCCTCCCCTTTATTGCCAGCCTCTGCCTCAAGCCCTGCTGCCTTCTCTTAATTGCCTTTGCTGCTGGCATAGTCTTAACCTGGACACACTCCCTTCCCCTCAGAGCCAGTTCCGCCGTCTTCTTCAAAAGCCAGCTCCAAACTTTTCCTTCCAGGAGCCTCTGAGACCAGCACCTGGATGTCCACCGTGCCTTTAGTTCCATCCCTGACGGGCTTCCTGTGGGTTGTGGCACTGGGACACCGACCCGCCCCCCGCCCCCCAACAGGTGAAAGAAGAATGTGAGGAGCTGCTATTCTTCTTGCAAGGTGCAGCTTAAATTTTGCCTTCTTTGTGGGACCTTCCTGGGACCACATCGCCGGGACAAGGTCAACGACCCCGTGCTGGAACGGCTGGTCCGCCACCCGCAAGACAGTGAGCCTTCTTTACGGCTGACAAATACAAGAAGAAGTATTGCTGAGTGAGATGTGTTTCTCACCCCCTGGAAAATTGTAGTCTGGTCTGGGGAAATAAAGCATGTAAATAAAAGGGGGGGAAATTCCAAGAGAAGATAGTGCAAGGACCAGACTGGCCGCACTAAATTGCACTTGTTGGCCTGGCCCCCTTCTTCTGCTTTCGGGGGTGTCTATTCTGCTTCCTCACAGTCTCAAAGGACAAGAGTCATCACCTCTGTGTTACTTCCACCCACCAGCAGCCGGCCCAGGGGCTTCTGCACACACACAGCAGGTGCAAGAGGGCTGGCTGTGGCTCAGAACAGGGCCGCACCTCTACCCCTAATGTCCACAAGGATATATTCCGTTCTCAGAAGCTCCCAGAATGGTGGGTCTCAAGCTCTGCTTTCTTTTTCTGTTCTCTTTCTTTTTCCTTTCACCTCTTTTTTCCCCTCCTCCTCCTTCTTCAAGGAACAAATCTTTTTGTCATATTAAATCTTAAATAGAAACTCAGCACAAACAAACTAGGTCTCCCACCAGTTAGCCCTGTAGGTAAGAGCAGGCATTGCTCTGGTTGGATGGGGCTCCTGTTCCCACCCACCCACCTATAAGACCACTTGCAGTCCCCAGAGCACCTCTGTGGAAACATGGTGTGAAAACCCTGCCATCTTGAGACAGCTCCTGGGTCACTTGGAGATGACACCTGGGTGGTGGGGTCCTCCTCCAAGCGACAGATCCTCATGCTGACCCCACTGAGGCAGAACAGAAGTCTTCATTCATCACAGTCCTGTCGGACCAGCCCCCACCCCTCCACTCTCAAAGGAGTGTGTGGGAGAGTTGGGAGAGCACTGGACTAGGAGCCAAGACAGTCGCCATGGCATGCTGGATCCACAACAAATAGGGTGATCTTGGAAAGCCAAAACCACCTGAAAGAAAGACACTCCTCTGGTCCCCCCTTCAGAGTTGTTTCGAGGGTCAAATAAAGTAGCCTTGCGTATTGCATACACTTAGGGACCATCACGGAATCTGTAATAGATACTCCCTTTTCTACCTTCTCTTGGAGACAGCGAGCCAGACACCATCTAGGGGATAGACCTCACATTTTCTGTTAATTCTGACTATCAGCCCCCTTACCGCACCTTGACAGTCCAAGGCACAGGGAAACTGCGTGACTTGCTCAAGGCCTCACACCTGCAGGATCCCAGCTCAGGTCCTGATGCCTTCAAGGCCAGTTTCTCAAGGACACTAAACAGCCTCTTGGTCTTTGTCCAGGACCCCTTGACTGCACTGTTATTACCCCTAAATTTGGGGGCTGGGGACTCCAGTGGGACTGGGAAGTTTGCCCTTCTGTCTGTGGACACCCAGCCGGCAGCCATGCTGAGTCCTGAGACTGTGGAGTCAAATAAGGGCCTGACCGCGGCGCGGGGAGCTGGAGCGAACTCAAGACTGTCTGAGTCCATTTGTCACGCCCGGGTGAGCACAACTTAAATCTGGAAATTCTGCTCAGCCGGATTAGAGAACTCTAAACGGCAGTAGTTAACTGCTGCCCGAGGCCCCTGGAGCTTCTCCCCTGTGGCATTTCCAGGTTTGAGCAAGGGATGAGTCTGTGCTTGCTTGGCGGGGAGGCCCTGGATTGGCCTGGTTCTGGAGAGGCTGGACACTGGGCCTCGTCCCCCAGGGAGCCGCTCAGTGTACGTGTTACTGCTGGGGGAGGAGACGGCATCATGGATGTTATTACCTTTTTGGACAGCTGAGAAGGTGGCGATGTTGGGACCTGTCCCCCAAAGCTGTCTTTTTCAACACAAAGTGGTTTCTTTCTCCCTCATGGGATCACTGGGGTAATTACCACGATTCTCCACTTTACTTTGGCTGTGAAGACAGAGCTTTAATGAACTCAGAACCTCCGACCATCCCAACTCCAGGGCGAAGCAGCCAGGCGGTCTCGGTGGGAGAGGAACACAGCACCAGGCCGCTCATGCTGCATAAGGTGCACGCCAAAGTGGGAGGAGGCTGCGTCTGCGGTCCCGGGGACAAGGGAGAGAGGGTGGGGCCCGCCGCCATCTAGGGAACACAGTCCCTTTCTGTCTCAGCTCCGAAAGCATTTATTAAAAGCTTTGTTTCCCTCCTTTGTCCTCCAGAAATAATGACCTTTGTGTGGCAACTTTTTGTGATGTCTCGTTTTCATGCCCAAGCAGATGGTTCTGCTGATTTCTTAGAAGGCTTAGTGGGGGGATTTTTGGGAGCTTGGGAGAGAATGAATGCGAATAGACATAAAGAGTGATTCTGAATTTTGATAGCTAAGGGTTGGGGATGAGTCTTAGAAGGTTCCAGGGCTTGGCTCAGCGTGGAGCCTTATCTGCACCCCATCCGAGCCGCTCGGAATCCGAGAAGAATGCCTCTGGACCGGGTGCCGACGGCCCCCCTCCATCGGATTATGCACACTGCCGGGATGGCTTTGTCCTCTCCTCAGTGTTTCAGTAGGGAGTGTGCAGATCAGAAAGTGCTACCTGGTTTTCTGTGTTCACGTTTATTCCATGTTATTTGCTTATCACTTCTATGCTATTCCAGGTGATTGGAGCCAGACACACAGGGTCTTTTTGAGCTCTGCCACAAGAAAGCAGTGGCAGGCTCACCACCCCCACACCAGGCCAGCCCCTAGAAGTGCAGAGGGAAATGAAGCAGCGTTTAACAAGTGCCTTCGGAGTGCCGGTCACTCTGTGTGCATGTCACTTAATGATGGCAATGACTATACAAGGTGGATGCCTTCACTCCCATTCTGTAGAAGGTAAGCTTGTAGTTAAACAGAGTAAGTGACCGAGTTGGGATTTGAACCCGGCTCAGCCTGGAGCACAGCCAGGCTCTGTTGGCGACTCACGGCACCTCACTCCCTGGAGGGTGCAGAGGCTCCAGGTCTTCCAAGTCTCTGCCCGCATCTGCGTCTTCCCCCACTCCTCCTCCGTGTACTTAGCCAGATGAAATCAGTGACTATCAAATAACTATCAAAGTCACACGGAGGTGGAGAGGTTAGGGAAAGGCTTATACCTGCCACCCAGGTGGGGCAGCACAGGCTCTTGTTTCCTGGGACGATAGGGTGAGCCCGGCTGATGGCAGGTGCTGGACGCCATCAGCCTTAGGAGCCCACCCTCCTCTCCCTCTTGGCTCCGACTCCCAGTGCCTGTCCTGGTGCTGGCCAGAGTGGTGGAGAGGGCCAGAGCCTGATCCCAGGCCAGTGGCTTCTGTGAGACAACTCTGGCTTTCAGCTGCCACCCTCTCCTGGGCACTTGTCATTTCACTGCGGTCAGAGGAGGACGCAGCCCCCTCAGCAGTGACTCAAACGTCACCCTGGGAGTGGAGTCCATGGGGGCGTATTCGAGATCCGTGTGTTTCCCAGATTGATCCCATTCGGGGCTGCGCTCGGGGCTGTGCTGGGCCGCC